AGTAAAACCATTTTTTTTCTTATAGTAGACATTTCAAAGAATATTTTCGTAAAAAAATAATTCATTTATGTATTTTCATTTTGTTTAAAATTAATTTTAACCTTAGCGTTCCCGTTATGCCCCGGGTTCCCCTACTACACAATAGCAGAATGTTATGCAATTTTTCATCGGTAAATTTTAATTAAGTATTAATTTATCATTGCAACATTTACTAAGTTTCCCGCGTTGACAGAAGATTAAGCTTTTTAAATAACAAACGTAACAATAAATACTACGCGCCAATATTTATGTCTTATAAAATGTCGTAGCGCGACACAATTTTTCAGACTGTCCAAGATTCGATCTAATTTATCAATTACATTTTTCCCCTGCGGTTAAACGTAAAATTATTTTCTTCCGTCCTTTTTCTCACGTTTGAAATTTAATATTGAAGCTACTCCTCGTTAGCTCGCTTCTGGTATATAAAATGTGTTTCCTTCTGGCACATTTCCGATACCCTTCTCGCCGCTTTTCTCACGTGCGTACGTCGTGCATACGTAATGCAGTGTCTCTAGTAGTGCGAGACAAGGGTAGTCCTCGTCTGACACGCTGCGACATTCATTCACTACGTAGCGGCACTGGTGTCGATCGCTTGGTTCGTGAACCTTGACGAAGACTCGCTGGTCACATGTTTACGCAACAGGTTTACGGGGAACCATATTGTCCGAAGGCGAGGTTGAGGTATACCCATAAGAGTACGTGAAAGAAATTGATATGGACTCGCAGGAAACCGCGAACAGAGTGGCCGAACCTGCTTCGGACCACGGAGAAACTATGGTAAGCAATAGAGAACGAGAGCGAAACGTTAACACGATCGACGATCATTAACAGAATCCACTGACACTGACAGAGATTGCGTTTCTTCTTTGTAATTCTGTGTCTATTGTGTTGCGTTCTCTAATTCTAAACAAAATTAATAAGCTCAATCCCGCCAATAAAAAGAGTTGGTGTAAAACAATTACAACTCTTTTGTATATAATAATAACGAGGGTTTTGGCCGCGAACGTAACATCCCTCGTGGCGAATGAATCGCAGTGGCAGTCGAGTCGTTCGTGGCTCGATCCCATAATGAGCCAAAAGTAAAACGGTGGCAGGCACGGTGGAAACGGCACGGCGAGACGTCACCGACCCGCATTATCAAAAGATCGATAAACTCAGGGCCACTGTTTCACGAATTTCGGCTCCCGTTAGCGACCGTAGCTCTCTCGCGGTTTCTACATTGTAACTCGTAGTGAGTTTATATATAATTTACGTCGCGCGGATTGGCCCGCGGCATGAAACATCGCGTTGGGAAACTGAAAGGCGGACTTGCGAAGATACCGACGATGCTGGTAAACAATTGCTAGCACGCGCGGGGCTAAGACGCGCCACTCGAGATTCGCAGAAAGTCCACGGTGGTTTCGCGTCGGAAGTTAACTACAGGATGACGCGGAAAATTGAGTCAACTTTTGTACGCCCGCAATTCGAACCGCGGCACGACGGTAAGATCGATGGGACGAGGGTCAAGGTTAATACTGTCGATCACAATTTGTGCCTCGTTGCACCGATAACCTTCGGTTCCGTTTCTCCATGTGCCAATGTCGCTCGAGATTAGGAGTCGGATTGTAATCGCGTCGCGAACGCCTTCGGTGCCAAATCGCGCGTTTCAGGCTTGACTATAATGACTCGAATCAAGGTATCAACAATTCGCTTAGATCCGTTTAACAGAGAGAAGATAAGATCGACGTTTCAACGAGAGAAACTTGGAACAGATTCGTCCTGGCTTTCAAGTAGGGAATTCAGATTTCGAATATAGAAACGCACGAATATAATCTCCATATTTCTTCACGACGAATAAAAGCGTGACTGCCAGCTTGGCCTGATGATAAATATGTCTATAGCATTAAAAACTGACCTCGCCAGATCGCGGCGTCTCCAATTCCCGCGTTTCAACCAAACTGCGAAGCACTGCGGTCGTGAAAATAATACACTGGGCCCGAACAGTCCGGCAGGTTACTAAATAGACAAATATCGAGTATTCAGTACCCCGCGTTTTCCGGATGAAAGAACGTAAATCGCTTATTTGTAACGCGAGTACCCCAAGCGACTGCCAAGTTCGTCGCGTTCTCTGCGAAACTGATTTATCACAGCAGCTAGACTCACCGACGAATTCCCGCACAGATGTACGCGACGCATGCTATTTTTCCGCAGGTGAAGCCAAACGTTCCTTTACCACCGCAAGGATTTCAGGCGCGACCGCCAGGTCCCCCTCCGTCTCCCAGAAATTCGATAAATAATGGTCCCATAGGCGCACCTCGGCCGGGACCACCATTACGGCGACTGGACAGCCGTTCCTCTCTAGGTCCACCGCCAGCCTCGGGTCAGTTCGTGCAGCTCAGACCCTACGGTCCACCAAGGCCACCGGGGGGCTCTTTCCCTCCAAGGTCGCCGCAACCTGGCCAGCTGCCACCGCAGAATCCGCTGCTACCCCCGAATCAACGTTTCGCGTACTCTCCGGGGATCCGAGGTCCTCCGCCGCAGGGAGCGGGAGGTCAACGGCCACCCTTCGCTGTTAACCAACAGGCGTATCAGGCACAGCAGCAGCAGCAGCAGCAGCAGCAGCAGCAACAGCAGCAACAACAGCAGCAACAACAGCAGCGGGGCGGCGATCCGCGATTTCAGCGACCGGACGTCGCGCCTCCCCAGGGCGAACCGCGACGACCCAGCCAAGAATCCGTTTTCCCGCGGCAGTTACTGAGAAATGACTCGCTGCTGAGCCTGCAGCGGCAGCATCTTTTGTCAAACGAGGAGCTCAAGCAACCGACACGACCGCGCATCGTCATCGAGAAAATGGCGGACATCAATGAGACCGGCGCGGGTGTTGATAAGCCGGAGGGTTATCTGCAGAGAAAGAGGTCCGATGTTCGCGAGAACGGCGAGAATGACGACGACGACGATGTCGTGATGGATAACAAGAAGTCGCCGCGACACAATGGCGACGGTGCTCCCGAGGGGTTGGTGAACGGCTCCAAATCGCCCTCAACCCCGAGGAGAGTCGATGACGCCAGTAGACCTACGAGCCGACCGGGAACGGCTATCGAGGATAAGGTGGAAAGAATGGACTCAAGACCAATTTCTGCTAACGTCGATGATACGGCGACTTACTTTTCTCAGAGCAGACCATCCTCTGCAGTAAGCAGTGATAAAGAGCGAAAAAGAGAGGAACCGCCCGATGGCAGACCGCCGTCGAGTAGAGAGATCAACGCTGCATCGGTATCCGAGGAGATAAAAAAGCCCAGCAGCCCGTATAACACCAACGACGCGCTCAAGAACGTTGAACAGAGCATGAAGATTCCTTCGAAGTCTTCGGACAGTTCGCGATCTGTCACCCCGTCTTATCTGGATACGCCTAGGAACGCGGAACAGGACAGGAATCCGGATAAATCGCGTTCCGGCACTCCGGCCCGACTGGAGCCGCCTGGAAACGCAGAACGGGAGTCGCGGACGCCGGTCAAGACTCCGGATAAGTCGCGCTCGAGTACCCCAGCCGGTTTAGAATCGTTCGGAAACGCGGAACAGGAATCGAGAACACCAGAGAAGGCGCCAGAAAAGTCGCGCGCGAGTACGCCGGCTTCGCAGTTGGCGCCGTCTCCGAATGCGGAGAAAGAGCCCGACAGGTCGAGTACACCTCGAGCTGGAATGGAACCGAGCAACGATGAGGCCGAGCCGGACAAACCCGCCGAAGGCGCTCTGCGGGTGAAAGAGTCTAGTAGACCAGCGTCATCGTTGAGTTCGACGAGCGGCAAGTCGCCGAGGTCACCCACGACACCGGGGAATCGAGACAAACCGTCAGGATTGATCTCGCCGAGGTCGCCCGAGGGTATAAAGGGCTACGATAACGGGCAGCAGAGAACGCTGTCCTCCAGCCACGGCCCTCGATCACCGAAGTCTCCCGTCGATAGTGGGAAACGGACAGAGGACGGGAAGAAGAAAACGTCCTTCGTCGAAGACTCGGCCGTTGAAAAGGCGATGGAAATGGCGAACAAGACAGCGGCGTCGAAGCCCACCTCTCTAACGTCCAAGACTCCGCGCGCGCAAACATCGGCGAGACCGGACGACGAGAAGAAAGCTGCGGAGAAAAAAGGTCGCGCTGGTGCGCAAATTGAATTGAGAACAGAGCAGATCCCGATTCGCTTCGCAAATGTTAATTTGTTTGCAATCGCTCGCTTTTTAAAGATTCAGAGGAGCCATTTCCGTCCCTCCACCGGGAAAGGCCCCGGGAATTATAAGAAAGATATAAAAAGAAATTTCGCAAACAGGGAAATTCTGTTTCTGTTGCAGAACATTTTAAATTTATATAAAACATATTGATGAGAACCAAAAAACCCTAGTAGCACAGCGCATTGGCTAAATATTGGCTCGGTACAACCAAATATTGGGCCGATGTTTAACCAATGTTTGGTCAATGCACTGTGCTACTAGGGAATTGAACTACTCCCATTTGAGATTCTCGAGACTTGCTTCGGTGCGGCACGATTTTGACGTACGCGTACTTTTACTTGCGTCTTTTACCCATTGCGACGTAATAATGTATTGTTTTTCTTCTCACAGCGGTCCAAAACGGTAGAACAAGGGACTCGCAAGGCAGCGGGGTAAATATCTTAAATTACACTTATCTCTATACATACAGCTCTCCTTTCCTTCTATTTTTATACCATGTCTCAGAAATATCTCTTTCCGATATATTAAAATCATTCCAAATAGGCGCTGAGCACGGATGGGGATGCCGACAAAAGATCGAACGCAGGGTCGCCTACGAAATCCGCAAAATCATTACCGCGAACCCCCGACGGACCTTCGACTGCTCAAGAGAAAAAAAGTAAGTTTCTGTTCCACAGTGGTTTGAGCTCTATTTCTAACATATGCCATCAATACTAAAGTACTTAGTTGTTATATCTTACAGCGAATTCGGTTGCTTGCACTAGTGCACACTGAGTGCACGCTAAGGCTTGCTTATAGTCAATTTTTATATCGAAAGATCCCTAATAGCACAATATATTGGCACAATATTGGAAATAATGTAAATCTAGTATTCTCAATATTGACCCAATATTGTAAGATGGACAAGCCTTCTCTTCCTACACACCAAAAAAAGTCACAAAAGTATCTGGGAGATATCTAAATGTTACAATATCTGATACAAAAAACTATTCAGATATCGCTTGGATATCTGAGAGATGTCTTCCAGATCCTGAAAAGTCATATCTATATTTCAGTGAAATCGGATTTTACGTATTACAGAATAGGCAATGTGATAAATAAAATATATTTTTTCTTTATCAGTTCGGGCATAAATTATTAAAGAACAAGGCCTCCATAAATCAGCCTTTACTTTTCTTTAAAAAGTAGGCTTGTTGTCAACCCAACTGGCAAATTTTATTGAATTCGTTACAACGTTTGGACCTTACTTCGGGTCCTTTTTAAGTAACAATACAAATAAGAAAACAAGAAAAATTCGTAGACAAGCGAGTCATCCGTGAGATAGAGTCAAAAGATAAGAATAAGTGCACGTCCGAACATTACTGAGGTTTGATTTGAAATTTTTTTCTCTATTTTTTAATACTACTATTGTAAACTCATATTTATCTTTTCACTTTTTGGCTAAATACTCTTTGAAGAAGTTAAGTGTAAAAATTGACTATAAATAGACCTTAGTGTGTACTGAGTGCGCACCAGTGCGAGCAACCGAATTCGCTATTAATATCGCTAACGTTGGTCCTCTCGTTTCACATAAATATAATAGCATCTATTTTACATCGCTGAGAAATCGGACTGAATGCCATAGAAAGAATTAGAGTAAGGACAATGTTTAAAAAGTCATATTACATTAACGGAACGTGCGTCCAAACGAATCTTTCAATCCTGCAGAGCTGCCGATGAATAAAGTTCAAGTCGGCGCTGCGCCCTCCCCGAACTTGAAGGTTGTACGGTCGAAGATCGGTTCTCTAGACAACGCGAGTTACAAGCCGGGCGGCGGTAAAGTGAAAATTGAGAACAGGAAGCTTGACTTCAGCAAAGCGCAACCGAAGATCGCCGCGAAGAACGACAAATACACGCCCAGCGGTGGCGACAAAAAGGTTGATCCCTTTCGACTTCGGTATTGAATTAATCACCCTATTGCCAATAAGAAAAAATTACTCCCACGTTTCTTGAGAAACATCTTTTTCTCTCCGATGTTCATTAAACAATAGCGTCTAGAAGCAAACCTATGTCGAGCATTGTTATAAATGTCATCAAATTTCAATCACAGATATCCCAAGTGAAACTTCAATGGAACGCCAAGTCCAAAGTGGGCTCCTTGGACAATACAACTTACAAGCCAGGCGGCGGCGACAAGAAGATCGAAACGGTAAAGCTCGACTTCAAAGATAAAGCGAAGCCAAAAGTCGGATCCAAAGATAACGCGAAGCACGTTCCTGGTGGCGGCGCTGTCAAGGTGAAATTTATTGGAATATCACGTCTCTGCAACTTGTAGTTTAAAACCATTTTTACTATAAGCCAGTTATATACATTTTCTAGTTTATTAATCCATTTTTTCTACTCTTCTGATCCATTACTGCGTACAAACGAACATTGAATGACATTCTTGGCTAATCGAAATTCTTAGCTTGAATATAAAAGTATTGTTTTCAATCCTAATGACGCTTCGATACGTGCACGGCCATGTCATTCTCTGCATCGAGCAATTAACCCCAAAAATAATTATTAACAATTTATTGCATGCATTTATATGTATGCGTTTACAATCACACTCGTATTATCAGTACTTTACCCTTGATGTTTCATAATTAATTGAACGAAGGAGTCGTACACGTCATAGAAATTGATTACATTTTCATTTTTACACAAATATTACTTCTTCACGATTCACATGGACAGATGGTTGTTCCGGCGACAGACGCTTAATTGGCATAGAATCCATTACGAATGCAGCGCTCGCTTCGTTCATTTTATGTCACAAAAATATCCGAGATAATTACCCAGTAATGCGCTAGTCCAAATTTCATTGCATGCGGAATGCTGGCATAGGTAGTAAAACATATATACATATATCCTGAACAAAGTTATTAGTTTTGAAAGAAGAATGATGATCCAGCAAGGGGACAGCTATATACGTGTTTTGACCGTCTCAAAGCGGAATTAATAATTTCGAGTTGTACACGATTTCGCAGACCTGGGCACGCGTTATGAAATTTTTCGGAACGATCGGAATTGTTCCATTTCTTCCCTAGATTTCTATTGCGTTTTCTGGGGAAAGCGGAATAATTTCGCTCGGAATCCATTCCGAACATTTCCACGCGATAGGCGCTCGGGAAAACAATTCAATTTGGAATTATTAGTTCGCAATAGTCCGAGATTTCTAGCGAAGAAGAACGTTTGTTGGTCCGCCCCAAGCGCAGCATCGTTAATTTCCTTAAGAACCCGAACAGAGAAACGATGTCATTGGAGACCGCAAAGCCCAATTGTGCAGCTAATTCGTACGCATGTGTTGTCCATTGTCATTATTAATAAGTCATTGTTATTTCTTGATGTTCAGTCCGCAACTTCACCAAAGACACCGCAGGAAGCGAAGAACGACGTAAGTATATCATGCAGCCTAGCAAAGTAGCGTGGAAATTAGGTGTACCACGTGTCGCTTTCTCTTTCTCTATTTCTCTCTCTCTCTCTCTCTCTTCCCCACTCCGCTCTTTGTTCATTACGGCCTTCGTCGTCTGATCATGACATCATGACTGAAACTAATTTCTCGTACTTCGTCAAAATCGTGGAAGTAAAGCAAGCGAAACGAGATTAGTGAAACGAGCGTGCGACTGCATATATCGCCTACATCGATATTCCCGCGCAGGAAATCGCTATTTATAATCAGCGTGATGGATCAACCAGTTTACCTTCACGATTTACGAGATACGAAAATGTGCTTATCATCACTTTGCAATAAAGTGGTAAAGTTCTATCTATATCGCCGGGGATATAGACGTGAGTAAGTAAAATGTATGTTGGATGGAAGGTCTAAGCATGTCTTTCTGCATGTTTCCAAATTTATATCTGCACTCTTGGTCAATTCCGTGTTAAATCTAATTTCACTGACGAGCTAATATTGTTATAAATATATTCTATTATCGTCTATTCGATTACCCGAGAAAAACGGAGGAAAATTTGTATTTTTAGCCTTTTATTCTCACTTTCCTCTAGCCGCTTCTCAAATAGGGTTTTAATAACAAATGAGTAATACGGCTTGTCGTTTCTCTTCCCAGATCCCGACGCAAAAGGTAGATGTCAAGGCCGAAAGCAAAATCGGTTCATTGGACAACGTGAAGCACAAGCCGGGCGGTGGCGACAAAAAGATCTTCAACGACAGAGATTATCTCCGGCAGACGAGTTCCAACGTTGAGAGCGTCAACGGCAGCGGGTCCCAGGTACGTCTCTGCGCAAAAAGTCTTGAGAATAATTTCATCGCAAAACTTCGTTACTTCTCTTTCTCGAAAACTTTTACACGAGAGAACCTCTGGCGAAAGTGTCCTCTCGCCAGAGCACGTTGCAACGACGAAAAGTTCCAGCCTAATAACGTTACTTCTCGAGATTTTTCGCTATTCCATATCTGCACTCACGTGCTTAAACACGCGTTGCACGCGTACTCGTAATGCACAGCACATTGGCTCGCATAGGTAAATAATTATCAAAAATCAATATATTTCGACGACGTAAACATTTATTTAAAAAGTTCTTTGATGGAAGAAATTGATCTCTGAAGTATAAACGTTAGAAAGTTCTTTACTCGTCAAATGTTTCATATTTCTGACCGCGCAATATTGTACCTGTTCTTGCTGACTGCACTGGCTGCACATAGAGTTCAGAGCTTATCTCTCTCCGCATTGGGAGAAGAAAGATATAAACTTTGAACCAGCGCAGCCAGTTGAGCTGTAAAAAATAGACCTATAGTATGAGACGTTTTCCCTGAAATTGGAGGAAATTCTTTGTTTAAAAAGAAGTTAATTGTATGTAAAAATATTGTTCGCTGATTGTCTGCTTGATCCAAATCTGTTTTCATACGCGCGACGCTTCGTCTACTTTTCCGCCTCTCTTCTACTTTTCACATCGCGTTCTCTACCGACTTGAACTGTTTCTGCTGATTGTTACTTGCTCTTATCGCGATTATGTAATCGCGGTCTCCATAACACGTCAGATTAAGGGTTGTTACCCTTGCGCTGTAATCATAACGATTAAACTTAATCGGAGTGCAATTGTTTCTCCGTTCTCTCTTTCTAGATTTCATTTGTAAAGAAAAGGAAAAACAAAAGAAGTAACGAATAAATTATGATTAAAGCTAGTGGGTGTAGAGGGAATCAATTTTAACTCGAATAAGTGTAGCACTGTGCAACTAATCAAGATAAGCCGCACGAGACGGGAGAATTTGTCTTTCGAAACGCTATCTGAATGATAAAAATAACGTTTGATGGCAATATTGATGGAATGCTAGCCTGCCGCACAGCCTGAATGAAAGGGTTAACAGGGCATTAAGAGATGTGTGTTTGTTTTACTCAGTCCATTTATTCACCTCGCAAGGATGCTGCAGGTTTAATCCTGATATCTTGTGCCCGCAGAGCCCCGTGCCCTCCGGCGCGATCACCGATTCCGGCAAGAACGGCCTGCCAGCCTCGGACGAGAACCTGAACCAGGAATGCTAGGTCACGAAAAGTCGGCCGATAGACCCGCTTTAATTATCTCATTTGCATGTGATTAATCACGTTTTATCCATCTACCCCCCCCGTTGGAGGACGAACGAGCGCTGTCCTCGCGCGATCGAGAGAAACGTTGACGGCGCACGGGACTCCTCCGAAGAAAGGAGGATCGCGATCGATATTTTATTTCGCGCCGCGAGCGAGCAAATTTGCGCGACGGGCGAGTTAAATCCACAGAGCGAGGCAACACACGTCCGCGTATTATCATCGCGTTGATTTGTTGTCGAGTACAATGCGAGGTTCCCGGGTATCTTTCCCTTGGGCAAATTTACTTTAAATAAAATTAAAGTTTGTAAAAGTAATCTTTCAAATCTAAGAGTTCGCTTAAAGAAGTTAAAAGTTTACTTGAGAAATTTTAGAGTGATTTTGGACACTTAGTATTATAATTTTTAGATAGCCAAGCCGGAGTTCCCGCTAGAGGGCCGCGCGGCATAGCACTTTCTCGTAAGAAACCGCACGCGATATTATGAATTATATCACGTACTTTTTACAATTCTCAAAGGTTTCTTTTAAATTCTGAAAGTAAGCTCTCAAGTTTACTTTAAATAAAAGTTTAAAGTGTCCAAATTTACTTTCCATATTTCTTACCTTTCTAAAGTAAAAGTTTAAGGTTTTCTATGATATATTTTCCCAAGGGTCATTCCGTGTTCGTAGCGATTTTAATTATCCTTAGAAAAATTAAGCGAGCACGTCGTCGTGCGTCGCGCGGAAACACGCTACGACCGTAACAATACGTGTTCGATGTAGAACAGAATTACGTAAATACGCAAATCGTGCGAAAGAGGCGAAAGGACTGAGAAAAATATTTCATTTTTTAATACACGGACGAAGGAACAGATTTGAGAAATAATTTCCACACACGTGTGTGGGCTCTTTGTCTTTCTCTCAAAGATTCTTGTCACCGTTCGTTTCTGCGACTTTCTAAATCATTGGCGCGACGTTTCTCGTGCGCCCTCGCTACGCGAACATTAATATTTGCAAACTGTCGATTTTTGATACGCATTTGTGCCATAATTGTATCACGAACTGCAATTTACCTAACTCTCTCTCATGCATAAATTTTATCTGTTCCAATGCGTCACAATACGATGTAATCGCTTAAGAAGCCTGCAATGCGCGTGAAGATAAATTCTATGAGAATGAACCTATCGACGGAGAATAGAGCAGATTATAAACGTGAACGTTGTTTCCTTTACTTCACAATATCGCTGGTCGTATCCAATTTTGCGAGTGCAAAACTGCTCTTGTTTTTCAATTCGTCGCTAGCCCATACAACACAGAACGTTAAAATAATGTTGCTGAAACGTTGCAATGTTGAATGCTGAAGTATAAATATCTTTTCTACGTTGAATTTACGTTAATGTTTGTACATCGATTCTTTATGTTGCTGCTTGTTAAAACAACCTTGAACAAATTATTATTTTTTAACACTCAAATAGATACTTAAAAACTATATATACAATATTTTTGCACCGATCAGAAATTTTTTTATAGGAATAATTAAATTTCAGCACTTCCAACAGTTGTAAAAAATATTCTGTTAAACGCGACCAGTGTTGAACTCAATATAATTTAACAATGTTTTCTGAATGTTGAATTGTAACGTTTACAACACATAACAATTCAGCGGACATCGGACGTTTTTGCGATATCTTTTCAACGTTGAATCTATACATTTCGTAACATTGATGCAATATTGCAATGTTGTAATGGAAGGTTTCCGAGATGTTGATTCAACGTTTGTGTGCTGTATGGGTAGTGTCTTGATTCGCTTTCGTGTCTGCACGATTCCAACGAAAGTACAAACCCGTGCGTCGTTACGACACGTGCAGAAAGAACCATCGCGTCCTCTTAGGGGGAATAGACGTTAGACAAACGCGTGTACATTAATTTCCGCATGAAAGAGTCTTCACAGCCGACATCTCACCGGAGCTACGGGGAGCGTCATCTCGAGTAGTTAAATCGCGAACGAGACGATGCGTTACCGTCGACGCGCGCGATCCTCCGACGCGTCGTCGATCTAACGATTTTCGAGAAGACGGAAGACTGCGCGGACAGCAATCTCGATCGACGTGGACGAATCGTAAGAGAGCCGGGCGGTTAATCGTGGATAGCTTGGCTCATTTTGCGCCGTGTCGCAGCCGCGGCCGCGGGAGACGGAAAGGGCCGCGAGGTCGTTGTATCTCGGAGCTTCACGCGCGGTTATCCGGGATTAAGCTCGGCGCAACGAGGTCGCGAGGGACGAGAAGAAAAGTGCCAGAAGAGCCGTGTAACGCGCAGGTGAATCGCGACACTTTCGCGCGAGACACCCGGCAGGTACATCGGGCCGATTAGCGAGATTGCGCTTAGACGACAGGACATACGAGAGATATTCGTGTAAACCTTAATTGTAGATACGTAATCGACACACATTGCATCCCATGAGTACATATATAGAGTATCGCTGGTGCGGAAAGCAGCATCGGGAGGTGATCGGCGAGTTGGCGAGTGTCCGTCGACGGAAAAGAGGGATCGATGAGACGGAGAATGCGTGCGACCACGCCAAAAATAAAAACCTCTCACTTACGTCACTACGCTCTACCTTAGGTACCTCGTGCAATTTACACGTCGCTAAAAAGAGAGAGAAAGTAAGCGAAAGAGAGAAAGAGAGGGAGAGAGAGAGAGGGGAAGATATGTAACACATTATTTACACTGTATTGCTTCCACGTGGATTATTAAGAGATAATTTGATTCAATTAACGTACTGCGATACTTCACGAAGGCAGAGAAGGATAATTAACGTTTAGATCCTCGTAATTGTCACAAGTTACCACTTCGTACGAACGCAATAGTGTAACGACGCGCCCGCAGCGCGTCCCGCATTAGAATCGCTCTGGAGAGGCATTGTAATAATATTTTTGTTTTTAAATTTATATCCGTTCGTTGTCTCTCAACACACCCGCATCCACCCCAAAGTTTCTCGCCGAGGAGGAAGTGGCTGCGATCTTTATAAAAATTTATCTTTACTCATCTTTATAAAAATACATGTAGAACGTAATCACTTAGTCTCATTATATAAATACCACGAAACGCGCGACGAAAGATCACACATCGTTGTCCCGCGATGCACAACGTCCAGGAGTATGAATTCTTTGAGCACGTTCTTTTCAGGGTCCATTAAAACTCGTCTAATCCGACTTAGTTAGTTTTTTAATTTATTCACGTTACAATCTTGAAAATAAAAACTTTGCAAATGACGGACGAACGATTTGTACCGCTTGTAAATATACAAAATAATCAATTTCAGGGAACCGTTAAAAAAAATCCCTGCTCACAGAATTTGGGCGTTGATTCTCTTCTGTTGGAGGAATGCGAGGCAATGAGTGTACAAGTAGATTTTTCAAATTAGATCTATTTAGATTAATTCTCCTTCGTACCACTTTAAGATTTAAATGAGTTTCGACACTGCCTCGAACACTAGAAACCCGACTTCGCAGGCTTGTCAGTAAAAAGTGAAGCACTCCGTGCGAGATTTACAAGACGGAGATTTAGTATCGACGTAGGCACGACCCTGAAACTGATTCCCGCCGCAGTTTAGCACGAACGGTACCGGCAAACACGAATGGCTCCTCAGTCCTTCCTTATCGATATCCTTATCTACTAGACGTATTTAGAAAACTTGCCATCCCTTAAAAGGATAGTACGCACCGCGTGTACCTCACCCTCACGTGCAATTCACTCAAGGTCCGCAAAGCATCGCTACCACTCACCGCCTGCCAATCAAGGTCAGTTTGCACATACTACGTAACAATGGGGTGCATCGAGTATTACAGCTTGCCAAGTGATCAATAACGAGATTACTAGATGCACCCGAATGTATTTTACTCAACTTATTCTATTGAGTATATTTCCAAATAAATGATCCTTGCGATTCCGTTCAGATTCAGACACCCGTGAAGGATCAGCCGACCGGTTCAAAGATCGGCGACAATGGAATGCCCCAGCCGCCACCCTCGACGCCGACAAAAGCCCGTGGCACCGTGTCACCCTCGGCCGTCGTGACACCCCAAGCTGTTAGAAGCGGACTGGCCAGATCTCCGGAAGCCACGACGCCCAGAGGGCAACTCGCGCAGGAAACGGGGGGTTCGACCCCCGCGAACGGACGGGCGTCCAAAACACCGCCAGATGTGACAAGCAGCAGAGGCACGCCGAAAGGTCGCTCACCAGGGAGGTCGCCAACTTCCCCGCGTCCGCCCAGCAGTTTGCGCGTTAGATCCGCTGGCGATAAGTCCTCGCCTGGCACACCCAGAAAAACATCCCCCAGCACGCCGAGGAAAACTCCGTCCCCCAAGGAGCTGCGTCTTCCGAAACTCGCGTCTTCGCCGATATCACAAGAAGCAGGCCCAGCGGCTGCCGAAACTCATGCGAAAATCTCTTTACCCAAGTTGATCGAGCCATCCTCGCAATCCGCCCGAATGGCATACTAGAGCTATCGAATCAAAAACACGACGGGCTTTCTAGTACTTTAGTACAGGGTGCTACGGACTCCTCGCGTGCTCTCCGCGGTTAATTCAAAGTCGTTTTTCTCGGCAAAAATTTCATTTCGTTCTTCTGCTCGCAATAATGTTTAAACCTCTAAATAATCACAGAAGGGGCTCAGAGCCTGGACAGGGTTATAGTGTCAAAACAATTATTTAATTAATGTAGCAAGTGAAGAAACATTTTGGTCCTAACTGGATCATCTTCAGTATATAAAAACAAGGGATATAAATTTCCATATGATAGATAACAGAATACAATTGATACAAGAACCTACGTAGTCTATTACGCAAGAAATAATAAAAATTAGTGCCATGTGAGATAGAAAAGGAAAAGAGGTACTTGGAATCGTGTTGACCAGCATCGATGACGTTACCAAAATGAGGAATAAAGGGTAAATAACCAGGATAGGAGTGTATTGAGAGGAAGAAGGGATAAATAAAAAAGGAAAGGAAATTAATGTGAGGGGGAGGAAGCAAGTTCAAAATAGGGAAATATTTAACTGCCAACAGGTTTGCGCCTGTTTATTAACGGGAGCAATTTGGCGTTTAATATGTACCATCTCTGAATGAGCCTTTTTGTAGAAAGATTTTATTCACTTGCTACTTTAATTAAATAATTTTTTTGACACTATAAACCTGTTTAACGATTACTTCGATTTTTACCATACGTGTATGAGCCATTGTTGTTTATGCTTGAACTTCTCTATATCTGCATTAAAATCAAATGAGAAATGAAATGTTTGCAACATTAAAAGTTGAGTCATAATCTCATAGGAATAAAAAATATTACTGATTTAAAAGGAACTTGCGTCTATAATAAGAGGAACCACGAGGTCTGGAGCATCCTGTTTATTTCATAAAAGTGGGAGTGTAAACTAATTAGTTATTTAGAAAAACCAACGATAGGAAAGTCGCCACAAACTACACTTGCTACAGCAGACGTATTCTTTTTATTAACAAATCTCTATACTCTTAAGTAAAAATAAACTTTTTTATTCTAAATCTAATTTTAACTGAATAGAAGATCGACTCGAGAGTATAATAGAATGAAAGTTCGAGACAGAATGGAACAGAAGCTTGCAAGTCTTACGCGTTTCAAGTCGTGCAATTTCCAATTTTGTATCTTCCTTATGCGGAAGAATAACGGGTGTCGGGAACGCATTCATCAAATACCAATGAATTGACGAATGATTGCAATATCGTTTTACCTTGTTATTCTTAGGCCATAAAAGGAATTGATCGAAATTCATTTATTATTTCTCGAAACTTGGATTATAAATCACGTATTTTTAAAAGGACATTTTTAATGGCTTGCTTATAATTTTCGAAAATATATATAAATAAAATATATATACGCAATATATATATAATTATTGAAGAATATAATTGAATATATCCATGTTTATTATCTAATGAGTGGGAAATGAGGGAAAGGAAGGCATGGAAGATAGCATCGACAAAGCAAAAGTTAATATACGCGAGATTTATAGAAGTAAAAATATATATATATATATTTCGACTGTCAAGACTTTTGAACACGTGCAATATTAAGTTATTTCCATCCAAAGTTGTTTCACACTCAAGTTCCATGTAAAAACAAAAATACAGCAATTCAATCGGCAGTAAAATCTACGTCAGTTTTTCTTTGGCAGTGGAGGTGGAACTAATTTGACCCCAGCGAAATAAGGATGATTCAATCCCTTCTTTGCGGTTACCCTCTGATTGGGATCGTACGTCAGCATTTTCTACAAACATAAAAAAAAAGATATGCATATATGCGTGAAAACGCGCGCGCTTTCGCGGGGTAGACGCCGGTTTTTTCCCTTACTAAAAGCAAGTCTTTGGCATCATCCTCGAAATTGGGTAAAACGTCGTTCATGTTAGCCGCCTCCCACCTGGGGAATCTGGATGTGTAGTCCGGAAGCTGCGACACCCCTGGCCAGATCGTTTCGTCCGGTGTGCCGAGCATGCGAAATATTCTAAATAACTGATCTATTTCGGAGTCTCCGGGAAACAGAGCTCTCCTGGTCGCCTATAAAGATCGTGTTATTTCGCAGAAGCCGCGGTATTATCTCGACATTCAATAAGACTCACGGACTCGTCGCGCGCAAATTCTTTTCTCACGTACCATTTCTGCGAATATACAACCGAGGCTCCATATGTCCAGGGCGCAAGTGTACAATTTAGTGCCCAGGAGGACCTCCGGCGCGCGATACCAAAGCGTGACGACCTCGTGCGTGTAAGTGCGAACCGGGACGCCAATCATCCTGGCCAGTCCGAAGTCGGCCAGTTTGATATGACCGTCCCGGTCTATCAATAAGTTCTGCGGCTTTAAGTCTCTGTGCAATATACAGCGGAGATGGCAAAAGGAAATTGCTCTCAGCAACTGGCACAGATAGCTCTGTAACACAAACCGCCCTCGTCTTTAAAAGATTCGCACCTATGGGCGTCGCGGGCGAGATCAGCGTTTACCTTAACGAGAGCTGGCTCCAGGCCGCCCTTAACGGAGTCCAGCAGCTTTTTCAGATCCTGCTGCAGAAATTCAAACACCAGGTACAGATGATTGTCGCCGTCTACGACATCGAACAACTGTATGATGTTTGGATGAGCGAGGTCTTTCAATAACGATATCTCCCGAATGGCGGTGGACGGGACGCCTTCCCTTTCCCTAATTTTAAAGCAGCGCTATAATTCTTGTGGCAAAATCGAGCGCGACTTAAATTCACCCGAAGGGAATACGTTTGTAAAGACCTTGCAGGCCCGAACGCACGAAAAAACTTAAGCAGTCGGCCAATCGAAATTTTCGGAGCTGCTTCAAACGGAGCTGCTACGCTCTCGATTGCCAAACTTTCTTCACGTCTCCAAGTCTACTTAAGTCCCTTTGTGCGACCGGGCCTTAATTCGTCATTCGCTCATCTCTTAACGCAACACTCTCCGCTCGGAAAATCACTTACAAATATCTTACAACGTAACACTTAAAACATCAAAGTTGCATCGGTGAGGGAAGACAATGATAATACATTAAAACACATTAAAGTAAACAAGTGAATCGGGACCGATGGAAGTGCAAATCAATTAAAAATACCAGAGCTATTCTTGAGCACTGAGCCAGCTCTGGCCGATAATTGACGCCTCTTTACTGATTTACAAATATAGAAGCAAGTCCTCTGTCACGAGGTAGGTTTCCAATATGAGATAGCAGGTTTTCAACGCCCAAGTTCAATCACAAATCTTTTTTCGCAACGATTACACGATCTAACAGTGAATTTGCGACTAAACAGATTTCGCTCCAAGGGCAATAGATTCATGGTGGAATCAACTGATGATTTAACAGACACCCCGCTATCCCGTATTAGGATCCTGCCTCATAATAGGGGACTCTCCTCTAATAATGTAATATAAAAACAATTCCGGTTGACCTCTGTGTGCCTGCGGAAAAATATCACCTTCAATGAAAATGCTGCAACTGCAGAAGATATACGTACGTACATACATACATAGAGACATACATACGCAAAGTTTTTATCCCAAAAATAATCCTAACGTAACGTATCTTACTAAATTAATGATTACAGTGTATTAACTAAAAAAAAACACAAAAAAAAAGACAAATACCAAATAAAAAACCAGGCGAGCATGGCATAATGGGACAAGCTGAATAATGTGGTGCTACGAAAATTAGTGTAACGTGGCCCCCGCAGATTCAGCTGACCCCAATATGCAGATTGTTAGCAGTGTGTTAGCAGTGTGCACAAGCAAAAGCCCAGCTGATATTGCAATTCTGCAAACTGATCTCACTTTAAACACGTACGAATAAACTGGCCGAATTGATCGCGAATCGATTTTGTCAAGTCGCGGACGAATCGACATCCTCGGCATTCGGATTAAACGCTATTAAATTTACACAGGATCACACCATGAAGCGCTTAATATCACCGCCGCAAGATTACTCTCACGACTTCGCCCCTAGCGTGTAGAATTAATATTTATTGATTAAATTAGAAATTATTAATAAAATTAATAATACGATCCACTCGTACAGAGACGCATCCTTTTCCAATTGGCGCGAATGCGATTACTTGCGAAAATAATGCAAATATCCTTGCGCCTCTACAAGTTTCAATTAGTTCTTTTGCACAAGTATTATTTGCAAGTGGAGAATGCATTAATATTTTATTAAAATAGTATCGTATCAAGCGTTAAAAAAACAAGAGAGATATTAATGATACACAGCTGTGGAAATGACGTTCCAAGCTAGATTAATACAAGCCTAATAATCATGTTATGAATCTACGTATAAAAAACAATTTGGGAAAAACGTCTTAAATATGTACCTTCCGTTAAGAAGCGCAATTCAAAGAGTTAGTATAATATTAATATATTTATCGTGTGATACGAGAGAGAGGGGAAGAAAGAGAGGGCGGGGGGGACAAGTGTGGTTTGCACTGTCCCTGTCGGCTTATAATACACAGCTTTTGCAACGACAAAGAGACAAGAGGGTGCAGCGCAAGGAGCCTTTCGGAAAGACAACTGACGACCGAGCGAACAAACGATCTCTTACATTGTTCACTCTCGTCCGGATTCCGCCAAGTTTCTGACGGCAACAAAGAAGAATCGTACAACGAATCCCCCTCGGAGACAAAATCCCACGTGCCTCCGAGCGTTCGCTCGCGAACGCTCTCGCCGGGAGTCGAGTCCGCCCTGGTGCGCGTCCACAGGGTAACATTCTCGACGCCGCGGGAGAAGAGACAGACAGTGGGAGGGGAAGGGAGAGAGAGAGAGAGAGAGATTTATGCTTCGGAGTAAATTTACGAGACCGCACGTACGTCTCTAGACGGATTTTCTTGAGCGCCACCAGTTTGCCGGTCAGCTTGTCCCGGGCTTTGTAGACCACCCCGTACGTTCCCTCCCCTATCTTCTCGATTTTCACGAAGTTGTCCATAACCTCAACGTCGCCGCCGCCGCCGCCGCCATGGACACGGGGACGCCGCTCCTCGGCCAGGGCCGCCGCCGTGCCTTCCCTCGCCTTCTCCACGGTCGACGCCGTCGTTGCCGTCCGTTTCACCCCCTGTGCGTCGCCGGAGCGCCCGGAACCGCCGACCAGAACGAGATCGGCCGACGACGCGGACCGTTTTGTCGCCGACTGTTTGTCAACACCGTACGGCTACGCGCGCGCGATTGTGCACCGCGCGCGCCCGCGGCGGCCATTTTTATTTCTCTCCTTTTTTTTTTAGAGGGGGATGGAGAGAGGAATCGATAGCGCGAATCGATGGGCCGCGCTCGACGCCGGCCGCGAGATCGAGATGGTCGTTAAACGTTGAATAATCGATCACGCTTTGCCGGGGGAGGGGGGAGAGGGTGAACGGACTCCTTGATTTCGCGCGCGACGCAAATATGAACGGTCCTCGCCTGTCGATCGTAAAGAAGATCAGCAGCGAGAAACCAAGACGTGCAAACCTCGCTTCGTAATACCAGAGTACAAAAAAAATTTCACTTTCGGAGAAAAAAGATTTTTCAATAATCTCTCGATTTTGAAAACGGCGAATTATTCAAATTTGCGTCTTACACTTTGGCTTCGCGCGAAGCGAAGTTTCAATTGAAACAAAATCAACCCGCGATTGGCTCTTTTAGGCCCGGTTGCACCAACGTCGCTTAACTTTTAAGCCTCCGCTACAATGATTCTCGGTTCTGTCTACAATGGTCGTAGTCGTAAGAATAATCGACTGCGATTGGTCAATTCTTATCGAGCGACTACGACTACGACCATTGTAGACAGAACCGAGAATCATTGTAGCGGAGGCTTAATACGTAGTCTACGATGCGAGTCGCAGAGTCGTAGTCGTAAGAATAATCGACTGCGATTGGTCAATTTCGTCAGACACATAAGAATTGACCAATCATAGTCGACTATTCTTATGACTACAACTTTACGACTTCTGTGTAGACGAGGCTTTACAGCTCATTTAAAGCAAGATTGTGGACCAGAGGTAACTGTTTCCCCTAGAAACAGACAAAGAGTGAATTAAGCTAAAGTTAAAATTACGTGCAACCGGGCCTCAAGTTGCACCGACGTCGATTAACTTCAACTTTAGCTTAGTTCACCCTTTATCTCTTTCTGATTGTTTCCCTATATAACGAGACAAAGAATGAATTAAACTAATTGTAAGCTTAAAGTTAGCGACGTTTGTGAAACCGGGTTTAAAGCTCGTATCAGACTACGGATTGAGATTGGTATTAGATTGAAATTTGACCAATCGCAGTAAAGTTCACTAATCTCAAGTTTAATAACTTTTACTCTCATTGGCCAATTTTCAATCTAATCTCAATCTCAATCCGTAGTCTGATACAGGCTTTAAGCTGGCCAGATTTTATATTTAAGATCATCCTAAGTTGCACTTTTAATGTCTTAAGCCCGCTGCAGACGATGCTATTTTTCCTGCTGGATTGCTTGCGATTTAGTAAATTACTATCATTGCACCACTCAGCATTTAGGATTCCTAGTAATTTACTAAATTGCAAGCAATCCAGCAGGAAAAATAGCATCGTCTGCAGCGGGCTTTATAAATCACTATTTCTTCCCGTTTCTACCAGGATGCAGATTAACTTTAATCTCGGTTTAAATTACTTCGTATCTTTTTCAAATTCGTAAAACTAGAAAAAGATATAAAGAAAGTTGAACCGAGATTAAACTGCGTCGGTAGAAAACGGGCATTAATGCTGCGAGCTCGCAGAGCCGTAGATATTTGAATCTCAAAACGTTACGTTACGACGAACTTGAGGTAAGAACGGCATAAATACACCGAAGTTACGTTGTTATACTATACCTGTTTTTCTAATCCGCAACGTTCGGCGCTTGTTTTTGTGCCGGCGCGGGACAAGGTCGCGTCGCTCCGCTCACTCGCTCGGCGACGCTCGAGCCGGCGGGTAGTGTCGCGAGTCGCTCCGCGTCATTAGAGGAAAGCCCTCTATCGCGAGGTAGGATTCTAATGTGAGTGTAGTACATTTTCAACCAGAAATCTCTTTTCGCAACGCGTCGAATCAGCATCGACACTTTAACGTCGAGTCGACATCCGTTTCGACATCGATCGGCGAAACATTTCTCCGGTTCAACGCGACGAAGCGGCGATTTCAAGCGCTTCTCCGACAACGCCGACGTTCCGGCGCGTACCCTTTCGTCGATCTGTGAATCTCCTGCGCGGATTTGAACGTAGGCGCCGGACAGGCTGCGCAACCAGTTGGCTCCGAAAGCGCGAGCCAGTAACGTGCGGCTGCTTCTCAGGCGCGCGGTGAAACGATTGGCAGCACTGGACACGCTCGCCGAGAACGTAAGTAATACGCGAATCGCCGGAGTGACTGGAGGAAAGACCGCGATCGACAATTTGTTAACAGTATCTCCCGCGCGAGGCTCGCGACGATAACGAGCGTGCGAACGATGCGCGTCGAATCGGGCCGTGCACTCGAACGCGGCCGCGGTCCGTCAACGGCTCAAGCAACTCGCGTTGTGTCGCGTGACGTCACGGGCAAGTTGGCCGTTGGAAAGTCGCGAGCGCGAAAGTCGGGGCCGAACTTTACGTCGAGCGGCGTCGCGACGCGTTCGCTCGGCGAGTGCGCGGCAATTAAGTCAATTCTCTAACGTCCGTCGGTCGCGTCGCGTATATTCGCGGTCGCAATTAGCTCCCCGGGGCTCGTACTCGGCGGAACGCGCGCGATCGGCGGTGCGAGGGGCCGGGGGGGGGGGAGGGGGCAGTCGGCGCCGCGAGCGTGTAAACGATCGTGTTTTTTGGGCACCGCGGGTGCCGCGGGTGCTCGTCTTCTATCTCGGATCGCGTTGATAGCGCGCGACGTGATGCCAATAGATTTGAATAGACAGATTGTTCAGGCGCGGGCCAGCAGCTGCCCGAAGTTAGCGGCGCGCTTTACGAGCCGTGTCCGCCATTTTAACGGCCGGTAGCGTCGTAGCAAGCTCACGGCCGATTATTGTCGCCACGACACAGAGTGCCGCGCGATGTGCCGCGCAATTAGCGATCGTCGTTCGCACTTCTCGCGAGTGGATGAAAAAGAGCTTTTCTCGCTCAAGCGCGTGTGATCGCATCGGGAGTGCCGTGCAAAATATCGCGCGACTTCGCGCTTGGATTGGGGGGCGAAGGTAAATTAGTGATTAATGAAGTGATAATTGTGGGCGAATGCCAAGGAGCGCGACGCGAAGGTTCTGAGAGGAGGAGGCGGCCCGGGGGGCATCAGGCGCCGGTGGAACAACCGTGGGTGAGTCTCGTTTGATTTTTACGAAATATTCGTGGTGCATATCAAAGTGATATTTAATGTATCTAGCTATTCTTTTCGAGACTTGAGATATTCGGCGTGAAATATCTGTTAACGTTAACGCGATATGTTGCAGAGCACGTGCTGTGAGGCTGGTGTTACATTTGTCGTGCGACAATTAGCCTAACGCGGAATCTACAATGCGAGTCTCAGTCGTAAAGCCTTGCGTCCACGATTCCAACAACTGTGTCCAGGTTCTAGTGCCAAGAAGTGTGCGACCAATCAACCTGTATCTTTTATGGGGAAGCTGCAAGTTGATTGGCTACGTATTTCTTGGAACTAGAACCTGGACACAGTTCCAGTTTCGAGAAATGCGCAGCCAGTCGACATGCAGCTTTTATGGAATAGCTGCAAGCACGATTGGCTACGCATTTCTCGAAACTAGAACTTGGACACAGTTCTTGGATCGTGGACACAGGGCTTTGAAGGCCTGCGCTCACGGTGTAAAGGCCTGTGTCCACGATGCTAGAACTTGATCCAAGTTCTAGTTCTGAGAGATCTGTAGCCAATCAACTTGCAGCTTTTCCGTAAGAGATGCAAGTTGATTGGCTACACATTTTTCAAAACTGGAACTTTGACACAGTTCTTGGATCGTGAACACAAGGCTTTAGAACTTGGTCCAGGTTCTGGTTTCGAGAAACGCGTGGCCAATCGACTTGCAGCTTCTATAGAATAGTTGCGAGTTGATTGGCTATACATTTCGCGGAACTAGAACTCGGACTAAGTTCTAGCACCGTGGACACAGGCTTGAAGAATAGTCGACTGCGATTGGTCGATTGTCGGTGCGTCTGACCGAATTGACAAATTACAGCCGACTATTACTTACGACTGCGACTCCGAGATTTTATTCAGTTTCCCCTAGAAAACAATAGAAATCTAGGAAATAATTGTACAATTCCGAACATTCTACGATAGGTCTCCTGATCAGCTATAAAATATAACATTTCTGGAGACTCGAGAACTTTTCTGTCTCAGTTAATCAATCATACGGTCAGAAAATTTGTCGCACGACAAGTGCAATATTAAATTATTTGTAGAAAAAAAAAATTAGCCGACTATCAAATGTTGACTTGTGGCCTATAGACTCATTCTTGGAAATATCGTTTAAGCTTTTTGGACAAATATCCGTGTAAAAGATGCTTAGATTAAAGAATTAAACGCGCGCGATGATTATCTCTCGCAACATCACGTATTCTGGACACTGTTTTAACTCGAATGTATCTTTGTGTTACAGATTAATGCAGTTTCGACTCCACTGTTGCGCATCAGTGTCGGTGAGTCTGACTTTCAAATAAACCATCCGGTCTTTGCGCGATCTCAGCACTTTAAAGTAGTACTTTACGTTTCTCAACTTTCTCTGCTTTTTATCTCACGAAGTCGATCAGTCTCTCCTCTCGCGAGGAGTCTATCAATTAGAAAATGGACCTAAATCGAAAAAACAATGCGTTTACATACCTAAACTGTGAATTCGGACTTCACTCACGTACGAGGCCGGCATGTCCAAAGGCTGGTCTTGTTTCACGCCCGCGTCTTCTCGCGCGATTCGCGGCTCGCCGGGAAGCAAATGCTCCCGGAGCTCGACCTTACTAAAGTTCCACGCGGCCCTAAAGCGACGTTTAATAAAACCGAGCCGTACACCAGCGATCTTCAACCATTATGCCGTGAGAACTTTTGAAACGTGCAACACTTATCTTATTTAGTCAGGAGCGCCGATCTCCTTTTCTTAGATCGTCAAATACATTTTTTGACGTGCCGCAGAAGCTTAGTAATTATCCATATATTTCCTTGAAAAGGAAACCACAATCTGGATGGTCGAAACCGAGGGGGAAACCGCTGACCAAAATCTTGTACACCAATGCCTAGATACAATAAGATAAAGTAATGCCCAGTGGGCTTTAACTTATTCCAAACATTCTTGAAGAATGTTCTTAAAAAGTTCGTAGGAGTGTCTTGTGATATCTGGGAATGCCCTCAACGGTTTCCCCCTCGGTCTAAACATTGGAATTGCTAAATTAAACTATCTCAGCTAGTGTGGGTGCCACGAGATGAAAAGGGTTAAAAATCACCGCCCTATACAATCGGCAGGCTCGTCCGCGTATACAAATAACCGTTGGCTGCGTTTAGCGGAAGACGCTACGTCGCAACAGTTGTAAAATTTGGGGTACGCTCTTAGATTCCGCCACAATTAAGAGCACACGCCGATCAGTTTCAAAATTCCTCGCAACAGCTGGAAAGCAAGTTTTTCCGCCAAACGCGGCGATTGCCAAAGAAATTACACCCGAAGAGACCCCCGGCGTAATCTCTTTCGTGAATCTGACGCATTATCGACGTTGCCGCGTCTCTCGATCGCACCGAGGGAGACTCCCGGCATGAAATAAAATACATCTTCGAACCTTGATCTATTTATTTATCGCAATCGCTACATGAGAGCTCTGACAATTGAGGCTCTATCGCTTAGCGCTTGATATCTCTTCAGCGACGCGCAGCAGCATGCTTTCTCTACCTCGTAACTAAAATTCTTCAAAATCCTCGTGCTCAGCATCCAAACGGCGCACGCGGACCCCGACAATGCTGGGAGGACACCGCGTACGTACAGGATATCGCGCAGGGGCGTTCTCGGAATATTAGATACATTCTAATACGTTCTATGGAATAGTACAGAATGTCACGTGCTGTTAGGGATATACTCGAGATTCTCTCTCTCTCTCTCTCTCTCTCTCTCTCTCTCTCTCTCTCTCTCTCTCTCTCTCTCTCTCTCTCTCTCTT